ATAAAGTCGCGTTTTCCGATGGTTACTGATACATTAAACAGGGTTTTTGAGGTCACTTCTTATTGTAAAACCTACCCCCTAAAAGTTATCATGGAGTTATACAAGGAACGAGTGAAAATGAATCGAATACCAAGTCGATAGTTTGGCATATTTGCATAAGAGTATACTCCTCTAATGTTATGAAGCCCCTTTCTATCATTGAAACCCTCTATTTTTTTATAAACTATAACTCGAACAACAACAGGGTGGCATAGACGCTCTTATGTTTTTGGGCTCTAAATTCTAATGGAACTTCTCTTTACTAGGAAAAGGGTAAACATGGTTTTTGTTTTCTCAACTCGAAAGTTTTGTTCATATGGATGGCTACATGCAAAATGGGAATAAATCTGAGCGTTCCCCTCTTAGGTATCAGAAACTTCCAAAGATGGAGAATCGAAGCCTGCCTCGAATTATTGGTTGTTGAACCATCTATTGTTGTAAGCTATACATTCGCTACATGAATGTGGCGTGCCCTGATGCGATCTCGAGATTTTCGCTAAGATAAATCCGAAACTCGAGAGCGAAGTTTAGGCGATACCCATAGATCAGACCCTACCCATCTCACTGAATGTTACGATTATTGACATTGTTCAGTTTACTGCAAGTGATTTTCGCCTCGATTTTTTGTCTTATCCATACAGCGACTCCTAGCCATTCTACAAGGGTATGTTAGTGATAATTTTAAAACTATTCTCGAGAATACTGCTCTGCATCTAACTGGTCTCTCTCGCGCTTTTTTTATTATTATACAAATCTCGCTTGAAGATGATGGCGGTTAGGGAGTAAAAGTTAATCGTTATACTGTCCCACACAAGGAGAACGACCCAGCCTACCAAGCATCTCTTCTCTGTTGCTAATGAACGTTCGTTCACTAGATGGCCTCATAACTTCAACTTTATAGGAGGTCGTACCGTATAAGTACAAAAACGAACTCACCTTATTTCCACTACCTCCTTTCCTCCCTTATGATAAACGAGCGGCGTTGTTATGATGGAATTGAGTCCAGCTTATAAATAGTCCCCTTAACTTTCTTACAAATCTTCGGTTGGCCACTTTTTACTCCAAACTACGTGCAAAGCGCGTTTGTGTCTCAATTATTACCCAACTCCACGATTGTCATACCATTCTTCGAGGGTGCTACTGAAAGTACTGCTACAAGAAACCAGTATAACTCAACAGCAACCTTTCAAACTTCAATACGAAGTAGAGTAAACTGGCTTTTTTGAATGCGAACCGCAGCTCCCGGCCCGAAAGGCAAGTACGGTGTCCATGTAACCCACGAAGTAGCTTGTACGCCCTGTACCTACTAATTAATCAGTGTTCGTGGTCGGGATAGCGGCTGATTGATCCAAAGATGTAATACTCATACTTCATACTCATACTCAAGTGACGGTCGGGTTGAGATTTCTAGAAGTTCGCGATTTTGTACATAATTTTCTATTGAGTTGAACTAAAATCTTTAGTTGACGATGGCTACTCGCCGCCTATTACAGTTTATTCAAACCAAAGTAGTTGTGAAATCGGAGATATATGATTGTTACGGATATAATGATGATGAATAGGACCTATTATTGATGTATTTTTGGGTGATTTAGGCTCGAACCGTCTTGGAGACATGGGCGAAACGATGCGATGATTTCATATTCTTCACAGATTCCCCAATGTCACCGGATATTCCTCACATATATTGGAAAGAGCTATCCTCCAGAGATCACTCATGGGAGAAGATCCGACGGATATTCAGGTTATTCAGGTTTGATGGAGGAAGTTTTTCGTCCCAATGCCATACTTCCTACTGCAGACACGTTGTTGATGGAATAGAAGAGGAATACGATTGGTACCTGAGAGCAGATGACGATGCTTATGTGATTGTCGAGAATCTACGAGAGTTTCTATCCAAATATTCTAGCAAAGAACCACACTACTTCGGTTATAGGTGGAATTTCTTTGTTGTACGTTGAATATTCTGTTAGCTCATATTATTCCTATTTCGGTGCTTCTATGCATGTCGACATCCAATACATTTGCAATTTTCTGATTAGATTTTTGTGAGAGAGTCGCTTGAACTCCCTTTTTCGAGGAAATCAGGTACTGCGAAGCAAAGGTCTTCTCTAAAGTTATCATTATAGCTTGGGCGGGTGTGGTGTAGTGGCAAGTGGCGCACTACCTCACAGACCTGATTACGGGTTGGAATCCCTGATCGACATCCGCCTAGGCCAACCAAGTCGAATGAGGAGATGCGCCCCTCGAATGGGACTGATTAAAGCTCAAAATCTCTATCCTTTTATCCTTTATGACTGATCGGCTCATATCTAGTCCCTTATAATTAAGAATTAATAATTTCAAATTCTCAGGTTTCTGACCATGTCCACTTTCAGCCCCATGGTTATGCTGATGGTGGAGTGTATATCCTTTCGCGGCCTGCCGTTGAAATTTTCAATCGAGTTATGAAAAGCCCAGTATGCCCAGAGCATCATAGAGCGGAAGAAGATCAAGAGGTGATTCTTTTTTGAGAAATATCGCCTTCGAAGCTTGTGAAATCCGTCTATCACAATATATTACCGAAACAGTTTTCATAATCACTTTGATAATTATGTAAACAGATAGACATGCAGATTATCTGTAACAATTCAGATGGGGCGGTGTTTGGCTGCAGCGGGAATCCATCCAGAAGATACACGCGATGAAAATGGATCAGACAGGTGAGTGGTAGCAGCGACTTCCTTGAACTCATTCAATCGAAACGGCTTACTAACTTCTTGTAACTTGGAGAAACTGTAGGATTAAGACATAAGTCCACTATGAAGTCAAAAAAAAACAACTATAAATAATCTACTATAAATGGTAAAAAAGGAAGACGGGCGTTAGGAACGATTTTGGGTAATCGATTCGTCGCACGCGGCTGTCGCGGACCACTCATTCGCCGTTATTACAACTCTAGCGTTCTTCATACAGCTCAATCGATATGCGATCATCATTTTATGCATAATTCTACTATTGATACTTTTGTTCTTGTATTTCTTACCTACTGCTGCATCCTGCTATATTCCTTCGCGCGCGACGCCCCTCTCACCGCGACGCGACCATTTCGTTCCTAACGCACCACACCCAGGGTACTTTACTTCAACGATGTTTCACTAATGTAACTTTGGATGATGAATGCTTTCCGCCTCTCCAAGGAAATCTTCATGGCGGCAATAAGCATTCCGCAGAAGGAATTCCTACCTCAATTTTCAAGCCTCACTCGTCATGGTAGTTCCCGAATGGCCACCTGATTCGCAAACAAAGCCCGGCTTGGCGTTGTTGAGGATTTGAAGTTATGAAAAATTTGCTTTTCGTTACTTGAGAAGCAATGTTGTACAGTTTTCGATCCATATTCGATTCGGAACCGCGTAGATCCGCAAAACTTCAGTGGAGAACCAAAAGAGACTTACACTTCCAAGTCAAAGAACAGACGGACTGTACGGTCGTTCGCCCACGTGTAGGAAACTCGAAGAGAAATGATGTGAAATGAAATCTGCAATTGTTTTTTGCTACGACCTGATATTTTCCAACTATTCCTATAGAGCGCTCCTTCTTCTACTGATTGATAAATTGCACGGTGTTTTTTTGGGCCAGAAAGAAATGCCCTGAAAACTCATAAATCGTAAATGTCAGAGAGCTTTTACAACAGTTTAATAAATTATAGCCCAGATATCAAGTTTGAGCTATCGTCTGTTGTCCCACGTCCTGATATATTTTCGATTTAGTAACACGTGATACTCGGTCTCTTTGCAATCATGATTTATTTGGGGCTTTCAATAATTTGGTACTTAAAATATTGGTGCTTCCTGACCTTACTGGATTACCCTGAGTAAATTTTTGTTCATTGCTTGCCTCGTGTGCCATACCTCGAACTCGGTTAATGAGATATTTATTAGTAATAGAAAATTGTTCCAAATCGTAAAAGAAAAGGAAGAAAATGACAGAAAAATGACCCAATCTAACTACCTCTTCTACCATAAATAAGTCGTCCCGGTCTTTCTGAAGATGACAGTGTGGTATTGTTAGAGAAGAGCTTGGAAAGGGTAATCGCATGAAGAATTTGGGTCTGATTGCGCATCAGATTGTCCGGAAGAGTCTGGAAGAGTGTCATGGTCCGCTTATACGATATTTGAAGTATTTATTACGAGAGAACCTGACGTTTTACCGCAACACCACTCTTCGTTTTTTCGATTTCCTTCCAGCTTTTTCGATTTCCTTCCAGCTGAGCCCAATCATAAAGACGGAAATCGACATCGTATTTTGAAAGAACAGGAATTTAACCTTTGCATGAAGTTTGAGTGAGTTCGTTCCCCCAATTCCTTCAGAGCGTTCATGTAATACATATAGCCCTGGCATCCAGTGAGAAAGAGCAACGGGGGCTTTATATTTTGGGNCTGAGTAAATTTTTGTTCATTGCTTGCCTCGTGTGCCATACCTCAGACTCGGTTAATCAGATATTTATTAGTAATGAAAAATCGTTCCAAACCGTAAAAGTAAGATAACGAAATTAGAGAAAAGTGACCCAATCTAAATACCCCTTTTTCCATAAGTAAGTCGTCCCGGTCTTTCTGAAGATGGCAGTGTGGTATTGCCAGAGAAGAGCTTGGAAAGGGTAATCGCATGAAGAATTTTGGTCTGATTTCGCGTCAGATCGCCCGAATAGCTTGGGGAGGTGTCTTCCTTTTCCCAATCATAAAGGCGGGTGCCAACAGCATATTTTGAACGATCAGAAATTTGTCCTTTCGGAATTCGTTCCCCCAATTCCTTCAGAGCGTTCATGTAATACATATAGCCCTGGCATCCAGTGAGAAAGAGCAACGGGGGCTTTATATTTTGGGCGCTTTCATAGGTACCATGGAGAATGGCGTGAGTTGAATTGGCTTCCTACGAGCGATTCGCCTAGTCAGAATCATGAGAAGTTGCTTATGGTCAGCACCAAGTCTAGTGAATACATTTCCGACCGAACTTCCTTAAGTAGCCAATTCAGATTTCATCACTTTCATCCAACCGAGCAATTACTCATGTATAAGGATCCGTTCGCTAGAGGGTTGGCCTACTATCCTCCACTTCAGGTTAGTTTATGGGTCTTCACTTTTACTTGTTGGTAATGTTACTGTTATTTTCGCTTCCGAATTTCGTTCCTTTTGAACAGTGTTTCAAACCGGTTTTGATTCATAACTTCACTAGAGAATGCTAGAGGGCGAGAAAGAGAAGGCTATCCGTTAATTCATACAACTTGCTGGGTCAATAACAGAACTGGGAGCCTTATTTTACGATTTTCGATTATCCCATAAGTTCTTTCTCGCTGAGGACTCTCTTATCCTATGCATACGTCTTCATGTAAAAGTCTGAAGCCTAAAAGACAATGGATAGGATGATATGTATGGCGATTAAAGCAGGCATGTGTAAAGGAGGCAGCAGTGGGTTAGATTCAGCAAATCCTATCTCCGCTAATAGGATTCAGTGAATCGAACCCTCAAGGTTCATCGACTTCTGAACGAATATTAGCTCCGTGCCTTGGAACGGCCGTAATTCAATGACGTAAATAGCTTCAGAAGCTCTGATCCATAAAACTAATTTTACAAATGTTCTGGAAAATGAGTATTCCGGTGTTCAATCAACTGGCAACACCACTACTTGCCGATTTTCTAATTGGATTTTCTATATGATTTCGATGAAATTGATTCTGGTTTTAGGGTGCCGAGAACTTCAGCCCAGAGATGATTGGATTTCATCACCTATCCCCACATGAGATGCGGATACTTGATTACGTGCTATACAAACTGAAGCGAAGAACTGCCTCGATTTCACCCGAACATCTCGACGATCAAGGGCTTTAACTGAAGCACATGCTTTCTAATCAGTCACGCTGAGCGTACAACGAAATTTCCAAGCATTCAAATCAATCGAAGGGATGGGGCGCTCCTAATTGCTTGTTTTATCAGCAATTAACATTAGATATTCTCGACAGCTAGTTCTTCCTCATCGTAAATTTGCTAGGGATAGCATGAGGGATAGCATAGGCTGCTTTCATAGTCTACGATTTGGCCCGCGACCCGCGCGACTGGTCGAGCGTCCGATCGCGGGCCAAATCGTGGACTATGAAAGCAGCCATTGTGTTATTTTTCGAATTGCATCAACATTGATATTACATGTTCCAAAAAATGAGCATTCAAGGTTACGTTAGCACCATGAATTGTCAATTTTCCAATTACTTTTTCCAGTAATGTCATAACCTAGCCTATAGCCTGATGCCATGAAAAATCAAGCTTTATGGTTGAGAATGGTTCTGAAAGGACTCATGTGTCTTGCTGAAATGGTAATGTCTGGGGAATCCTTGATCAAACTGACTCGCTAACATGGATTTTCTTAACTCATTGTGGATAAGCTGACTAAGTTGTTGATTTCACATCCTAGCACAAAACTCACCCTTTTGCTTCATCTTTTATTGTTATGTGTATGTACGAGAAGCACGGGCCATCAACTTACTGTAACGTTTTCAGAAATTATTAAGCCATTAAGTTGATCTTATGCCCAGGGGTTCCTGGATCTTTCTTGGTCTTTTTCTCCTCAATTATGTGCCTGTACTGTTTGTCCAGCATCGCTTTTTTGATGATTATGGGACTTGTTTTTGCTTACTCAGCTCCTTGTTCTCTACTATGTTGTATACGACCTTTATATGAACTCCAGTGTTGTCAACCTTTCAAACTTTACAGTTTTTATTTCGTGGACTTGCTATGCGCTAAGTGAGGAAAAGTGAACAAATATTTGAGTGCCATAAACAACATCCTCCTAGAGCAGAGTGATAGGTATACCTGTGAACCAACTACACGCCTCAGCCGTTATTTCAAACACAGCAAACACTCAGACTGAGAAAAAATAATCAGCAGAGACCAGAAATTGGCATTCGACCTTCATTAGCTTTTGGAATTGCGGAGTAAAAATTGTTCGGTACATGGGAACAACGGAAGGTGGAACCGGAAGGAAAGGAACCTTGATGATGAGATTGGTTGATGCTGCTCAATGATAGCAATGATAGCACAATTCGTATTATCACTTTGAACTACAGATACACTTTAGTTTAAGCCACTTTTCTGAAAACTGGTGCGACTTTGCACATTTTCATGACAATCTCACTGAATGCCGGTTGGTCTGGTGGGTTACGCTGTTTCACAGTTGCTCAGAGATAAAATTGGAAATTTTCGAAAAAGTTCCTGTGCCGAATGTAGGCTGCAAAGAAATAGAGATAAGCTGACTTTTTGTGGAAAACTAGCTTTTCACTACATGGCTTCGATTTGTGGGGATGTTACACTTTCTTACATCGGAAATACAAATGCAACTTGTAGTGAAGGCCCTTCTACATCCCCTGATTATAGCCAAAGCAATACCTTATCCAGTTCCGGGAGCGCGGAACGTTTCCTGAGCAGCTACCGGCTCCAAATTGTCAGAGTCAAAATTACTGTTTCGTAGTGTCCGAGGGTCGTGGTTTTTGTAATCACAAATGTTTCATTTATTCTGGAAAGAAGTGTGGCTGGTCAGCTGGGAAATATGAATTGGTTACGGAATGGTAAGCCTAGTTAAGCCCTCCGATCTCACCGGCACCCCTAGTTTTAGAATCCTTTTAGCAATAGATTATCCTCCACCTGAATTTCATTGTGCAGCTATACATCTAGTTTAAATCTATCAACACTCACTCAATATCGTTCGTAGTGTCGAGAATATGTGAGGGTTCAATGAGAGACGGGCGGAATAGCCAGATCAACGAACCAAAGAGATTTATCAGAAATGTTTTCAGACTGACCTTCCCCTAGAATTACTAGTCATAATTACTAACAACCTGTCGGTGGAATCCTGTAATCATCTAGCCAAGGTGATTAGATTAAATGTTTTTCTGAACGTAAAGCAATGACGTGATGTGCACATTTTTGAGGTTAGTCCACAACTGCGAGCTGCTGTGAACGTGTCACTGAAGAACATCAGCTGTCATGTCCAGGGTTACTGGCGTGAACAAGGTGATTGGAAACATCAATCGAGTTGGAGAATTAAGGATAAAGTCTCGGGGTGTTGATCAGCCTCGACAGACGGATGCCCCTTGCATTCGACTTCCATTTATATTGGTATATGGAAGTCGAATTCAAAAGTCGAATGGTAGCGGCGTAATGAGTACGTATGTGGGCTATACAATGACTTGCGGTAGCCAACCGACGTACAAGCCAGTGCTTTCATCCTCCCAGACAAGTATGGTACCAATTAGCCGACCCCGGAGGAATGGAAGGCTTGGTTGCTCAGGCGAAGTCCGTGTCCCGGGCTGTGTGAAGTGCGCCATTTGTCACTACACCATTTCAGATCATCATCTGAGATAATTTTGGTAATTCTGGGCTAGGTATGCGATGACCACACTGATCCCGTCTGATCTTCAGGCAGTGGTTTTACTTCAGTAGTCAAAATCTTCTCTGCTCTGCTACCATCTCTAAAAAAACACGCCCACTTGCGGAATTCAGGCACATGCCATTTTCGCGGAAAGAAAATGTATCCTACTGGGTACAGGGCGGAGTAGTCTTCTTCCCCGAAAATCCTCCATGAAGATTCCAAGCACTAAGACCACTCCACCCTGATAGGATCCAGCTCGAGAAACGGATGACGCATCCATTCTTATGCTTCTCATTTCCTCTCNTTCAGGCAGTGGTTTTACTTCAGTAGTCAAAATCTTGCTCTGCTACCATCTCTAAAAAAACACGCCCACTTGCGGAATTCAGGCACATGCCATTTTCGCGGAAAGAAAATGTATCCTACTGGGTACAGGGCGGAAAAGTCTTCTTCCCCGAAAATCCTCCATGAAGATTCCAAGCACTAAGACCACTCCACCCTGATAGGATCCAGCTCGAGAAACGGATGACGCATCCATTCTTATGCTTCTCATTTCCTCTCTCAAAAATCGGAAATCATATGAAGACGACGTGCTTGTTTAGTCCTTGGTTGGGTGAGCGTCCATACGACAGGGTTTACGGACAGGAATTGTCGCAAACCTCGAAAATTGAGTTGTTCCGTAACGAAACATTCGAAACAGGACCTACTGCCCGGATTACTGTACCAAAAACTCCGAATATTTGCTACTTGGAAATTCATATTTCCTATATGCATAAAATGAAAATGCCTCTCTCATCTTTCTATTCTGGGAATCGGATTAAATGGTTTAGACATCGGAGCTTATTTCAGATCCTAAGTTCGAAGTAATATTCGAGCGAAATGGAGACGAGGTGCTACTGGCTCGTAACATCGTGAGTATAGTAACTAGGATCACTTTTTTCTTCCAATAAACATAACATTATTGAATGTTCGTGGTGAAACCGAGCTGCAGCGCAAACAGTTCGTATCTGCCTTACTTCTGAACATGGATACTCAGATCTCCCGACTTGTGCCCGCCCCTTCTTCTTGTGACCATGTCGAAATGTTCGGCTTAACTGCTATCCCTTTTTCTCAATGAATTATACGTTTCTGGACGGGGAAGCATCTAAGGGAATTGCCTGCAAAACACGCGTGCATCACAAACAAGCCCTAAAATAGGGAAGCTCCCCAAGGGGAGCGCCGTGGAGGTTGCTTGCGCATATGAGAATCAAAGAAGTCCAGGGAGTAAAATTTTTATTTTAGGTTTCAGGAACAACTCACTGAAATGTTTGCTGAAATCAAGTCTCTCAAGAAAATTTCCATCGCAATGGATGTCGGCGACTGTGCCAAAGAGCCGTTGCGATATCGAAATCGGTGAGATCTGGTCGCTTCAATAGCGTGAACAAAATGTTGCGAGGAAACCTGTGTGGGTGCGGAGGTGGTGGGAAGAGTAGGGTAATGCTGATTGCGAATTCCGAGACTGAATCCCGTATTGATATCCACCCAGGCCTACTACAGGGTCGAGTAATTTGCATCAGACCTGACTGGGAGGGTAGAAGATACAACTTGTACACAGGATCATTGAATAGGCCACAATCACATAGAAAAGGCAGTGCGGTTTTGAATGGAAATCAGAAGCCGGGTCGCTCCCACGAGGGGATTATTGTCAGAAGTCATTAGGACCTCGGTTCCTTTATTTCTGTGGACACCTGGCCCCTTACGTTATCGACGGCAGCACTTTGAACTTGAACGGTATCAACCTTTTCGAAGTAGTATTAGTCTTGTGCCACTTGGATGTCACCCCAAAGACAAACTGAATGGTCTGACCAATGCTTTATATGGGCCCCTATTCGGGCTAATATGGGCATCCCTAGAAAGCGGCACAACTCAGCGACAGAAGCTCCAAGTTTTCTATTAATGAACTGAGCTCAAAAAGAGAGCTACTGGAAGAAAGTCCATGTGAAAGTGTAAAAGGGATCAAGGGAAATCATATCGTCGGCTCAAGATTACGGAATGGGTTTCTTAAATCTGTTTAAGCGAACAGTAGTCTCTCCTTAGTGATAGCTCTTTTTCTTTCCGAACTTGACTTTTTCTTAATTGCACTGAAACGACTATTTAGGCCGTTGACGTTCTCGCTGGATTTCCTCAAAGAGGTGCACCGCATAGATCATTTAGAATGGGACTGCGACATTGATGTGAAGCTCGTCGACATCCCTAAGACCTGTTCGAGAATAGTATTTACTGATCATCCGTTGGAAAACCAAACCATGGAATGAAGTGGACCGCTGTTCAAAGTTGTACATCGGTGATATGAAGAACAACATGAATTATCGTTTGACCTCTTTTCTGCTTTGCCATTATTTACGAAACTGTTCCATCATGCTTTCTTGTTTAAAGTTCATCTATTTATTGGGACACCACTCGGTTCCTACTCATCAAAACCTGCTCTTAGCCCGCTTTTTCTCATGAGAACCCCATTCTCAGCCCTTGAGCCGGTGTATGTTAGCCGGTTCCTGTATGGGCATCCTCCAGACACACAGAAAAAACACAAATATTTATCACAATAAAAAACTTTAACTTTTGATTTAGACAAGCAAAAAAGCTACGAATACAGCTGACATCTTGTGTCTCATTGACAAAAGTGATCGATCTTCAGCGACTTCAACTGCTGGTCTGACGATCAACCACGGGTTTTCTGTTGCGTTTCATGATCGTGTCCTTGCACAACGAAAGAGGTCTTGGACGCTTGTTTTTACGGAAGTATAGATTACATGCACTGAAACTGATCCAGATTAGAGCTTTCACCTTGATTTCTGAAATCTGTCTTCAAAGGGAGAACGTCCGTTGCACGCGTCCCTCGAAAGTAGGTCACCCCGCTCACTTCGCGTTCGGTGCCCCCCACTCAGATCTCGAGATGACATTACAGTACCACCAAGTGTCAGTGTAGCGAATGATTTGCACTTGTCCGTATTATCTTCTCTTTGGCTGACTGCCGTGGACCAAGCGCAAGTCGTTTGCCCCACTCACAACTGCGACATCCGTCAAGCATCGCGGGCTGACTCGCCGTATGCGACGGCTGCGGCGTGACCTAGTTCTGACGGACGCGAACAACGAAGCGCACCTCCCATAAAGAGCTGTTACTGAGAAACAGAAAATTCTAGCCAAGTATGCTTTAGTTTCACTTCAAATTATTGTCATGATTGTACCATTCACACCTCTTGTTGGGATAGTTTTCTTTTATAACCGATTAAGTGGCTACATCTGTTGCTGGATGAGGGGCAAGAGTGTTCTATGAGGTGCCTTCCGTGTTCTGATTACCTTGGATGTACCATTCACGATCTATATGATGTGCTACTCTCTCTTGTTCCTGCTCCATGTGTCCCTACTCTGGAATCCTCCAAATGAAGATCAGTGTGGTTGTGAACTCATAGAGATCCTCTTCGGCAAAGCATTACGAAATATTACGTCCTATGATGCTTTACGAAATAAGGGCTCCTTAGCCAATTGGTGTGGGCACTGGCTATCAGGACGTCTTCGCTGTTCTCTCTACCAAGACAGCTTGTGAAGAATGGCATTCAGTGGAATTAGTATCTTACCCCTCTTTACAATCTTACGCTTTGGCGCGGTTCTTTTGCAGTTTATACATCGATTGTGGCGCACTCAGTGGAGAGTACGAATTGGTACGCTTTTGGGAACATAGCAGCCTTATTTTTTATGCTTGTCTAAAAATCATTTTTGCTTATTTTTATATCATTCCCGTAAGTAGGAAGTACTAGTTGTCTCAAACGCTTTGGCTGCTTCGGAAAGATAAGCCTCATCCTATCTTTCTCTTACTTGCATTCAACTTCTCCGTGTTCGTTGCGCCTCCACAGTGAAGTATTTGTGGTTCTGCAGTTGACACATTGAGAATTTTCGTGACAGTTTACAGCCTTAATTTTCAATTCGAAGTGATTTCCTTATAACTTGGTCCAATAACTCATGAGCACCTGCAATCTTCTTCTGCTCTGGAGTGTATTTGAATGGAACTGTTTCAGAAATAGCTGGTTTGGCGCCGAATTCAGGATGTTTGCTGCAGTGAAAGTGCTTCCGGTAAAGGTAGGCCGATCTCCGGAGAAAAGCGGCTGATTAGAAACCATCTGTGGAACTGTTTGTGGAAGAAAACACCCGTTATCATAGGGAAAAATTGGAGTCGGCAGAAGTGGAGGAATTGCTTGAGGAAGAATCCCGAGTGTACCTATGGCACCGTTGGCCGTCGGTTGATATACCTGTAATATTAACTAGAAACTTGGGCTATTCATTACCAAAAATTGGTTACGCCTGCTTCTTCCAAGGCACAGTCCACGATATTTTTTAGGTAACTTTTTAGTTGAAAAACGGAAGTGTTGGTGGAAACGAGTGGGCCGGGTGAAAATTGAGTTTGTATGTATAGAGACGGGTTGCATGGGAGGGGTATTCGAATGGGATTCCAGTTGTTACAATTGCGTAGGGAGCGGACTACATCAAGCCAAAAGTGTCCAAAACTGTATTCTACCGTTGCCATGGGTCATGACTAGGTTTCTGAATTCCCAACGTGGGTGCCCGTCGTGAATCGTGCATTCTTTGCAGGGCCGTTGACATTCGTCCGTCCCTGGCTGTGGTATACAATAAAATCCTTTAGCCCTTTAGCCCTTATAACCCACATTCGTTCTCCGATATGTGTAATGAACGGTAAACTCATTCATTTTAGAGGGAGTTCTCATAATCCATTTTCACCGTGAACTGTGCCTTCATTTGTAGCGTACGAACTAAGAAGTGCTGTTTTGTATGTTCAACATAAGTAACAATGGTTTCGTACTTCCTGCAATCCGCTGAGCCCATTCTTAGTGTCGTCAGCTGTCGCAGCGAATGGGATCTGGACTGTCTGCACCAAAGCCGCTGGTTTCGTTTGTGATGCCATCTGGGGCTCGTGCTCCTCTACTTCAGATTTTGGTTGGGTGTTTGAAATGTTGCTATAATTCTCATTTCCCAATGTGTATGTGTCTTCTGCCTTCACATCATCGCAATCGATTTCCTTTTTCACAGTCTGCTTCGATTCTGAAAAATAAATTCTTCCATTTAAAACACTTTAGCATTGGAGATAATGGAATAGAATATATTTACAGGGAGCAGAAAGTCCGGGAGGCCCACCGGTCGTTCCAGGGATCTTCGATTTCCTTATGTAGACGCCAGTAACCTCTCCACTCGTCCCTACCGTGAGATACTCTGTCCAATGAGCCCACATCGAAAAAGACGAAGCAAGAACTCTATTCCCGCAGAGATTTCAAGGAGAATTCCGACCATGGAATTGTTGGTCATCCTGCTGCTCGGTTTACGTCTTGAGAGATCCACTCAGTAACATCCTTGCTCTGACGGTTCCCACATAACCGCATGACGTACCCAATCGACGTGGCCTCAGATTTCTTACGTAAGCAAAGGCCTCCCTGACCATCTTTTGTTGACGGTGTTGCATACTACTCCCCTCTCCATTTGCGATGATGGTCTTAATGGCGATTCGTGTAAATAGTGTTTAAATTTCAGGCAGCAGACAGATTCGGCGATACTTGTCAGTATATTCTAACCAATAAGTCTTCCTTCTTAAACTGCAAACCAGCTTTGCTAGTTTTTTATTTCGTGGCCACTTTGCATTCCGACATGCACACGTGAAGCACAGCCATGGTTCTGATGATAAGTGGTGGAAGGCTTTCTAGATATTCCTTCCAGAAACGAACGCCGTACAACTTCTTCGACGTGATGGCATGTCGAATTTCGGAATGGAGAACTGAAGGAACGACATATCCGTCTCGCCTTAGATGTAGATGGGCAGGTGGACGTGGCTCTTGAAAAGATGCATGTACAAATAGTAAATTATCCACTGAGGTTCGAGATGCAGTAACTATTCCATCAGGCCAACGAATGGAAGTCATCGTGTTCTTATAAGTGGTGGAGCTCCGGCGGGCTCTGAGAATGCTTTTTGAGGCCTCGCCGGCTTGGCTAAAAGTGCTGTTATTCTCTCTTCCAGATCTACCTTATCGTCTTACTGCGTAGCCTCGCATGTTCGGTCATTTGTTGATGATTGCCTGTAGCTTACACGATTCCGTGCTGCTCGAGAGTCTTCGAAGAGAGTCGTCTCTTGGTTACTTTAGATATCTGCTTTCGTACCACTATCGTGAAGATGCCCAACGAGCCGGTTTCATTATACACTAAGGTTGTCGTTGATGNTCTGCTTTCGTACCACTATCGTGAAGGTGCCCGACGAGCCGGTTCCATTATACACAAAGGTTGTCGTTGATGGAGTCTTCCCGTAAACTCGCAAAGGATGGCTTGTCTTGTGGCTTCGTTTCCTGAACTTTCGCACTGAAGTACAGAAACTAGCGTGGAGGGGACGATGGTCCGATCCCGTATAGAACTTCGGAACAGCAGCGACGTCAGCAAATCAAAAACCATCGGTAGAAAATGTATGGGCATTGCAAGCGCCCTCGGCAGCCTCGACCACACCTGCGGCTCCTCGTTTTTATTCTACGCTGCCATACAAACTATGAGAGTTCGCCGTAGACATGAGTCCTTGGCGATGTTACTTATATAAGATACGTCAAGTAATCGATTTATCTATCATATGTAAATCTACAATTTTGAATTGGATCCAATCAAATCCTTGTCATATATGGTCATGTTACTCCACCAGAATCTATGTGGAGCCCCTCATAGATTATTGTTTCTAGAACAACATTGAACTCACCTTGGTCACACAACATGCTGAACCTTCTTCTTTTACATCAGCTTCAATTTAAAACACCCTTCACCCAGTTTTTTGGGCTTGGAATATATCGTATCTCTTCAATGATAACATAGCACGCTTTTGCTATGTTAACATGCCTTATCATTTGTTTCTTTTCGTTGTGGATATGTGAAAAAGCTGAAGCTTCGTCCTAAACTTATTCTATGTGACTGAGTGACTCAAGTCAGATGAATCTCGAAGACGCTTCCTTACGTCAAGTGAATGTTTCCTGCTATCGATACTTAACTTTTGGGTTATAGACTGATGGATTGACGATGTCTTGTGAGCTTAAGCAAGCGCAAGGAATCGTCAAGACTGTAGCGTGGATGAAGGAGAATTGCTCAGCCAAGAATCTTCGATTCTTCCTGGATTTCTGAAGCAATTACAGGTCAAGTATTATAAACTCGATCTTGTTTTCTTTCCAGTTTGTTGGCCACGCGTTCGAGCTGCGCGCAGTAGAGTTCCCTACAAGATATTGCTAGGCGGGAATAGACTTCCCAGTGAGCAAGTCCTGTGTTCCACCAACATACAGAGAGACTTTATTCCAGAAAGTTCGGTTCTGACATCGAAAATCTGGTATCGCAGGGCAAAAACAGGAACGGCTGGGTACCGTTAATTACCACTTCCGCTTGTCTGGCCACCTAAACCAGTCCGTCATGGGGGTCTTATCAAGACATAGTGGCAACGGGACGATTGATATTTGAAGGGATTAGCGAGAAGGCTTCCGGACCACTTAATCCAGCATTGCTTGAAAGAATTTATCGAGAACCTGACCTTAATCAATCCCACCTGAGGGATGCGCCCACGCATTCGACTTCTATTCGAAATCGTAGGGGCGCATTGAATGCGCATGTCGCCTATGCAATGACTTGCGATGGTCAGCTGATTTACAAGTCAGTGCTTTTATATTCCCAGACGAGTCAGGTACCAATGGGCCGACTCCGGAGGGATGAAAGGCTTGGCTAGCCTAGGCGGATGCCGGATTCGAACCCGCTACTACGCTTGTGGGAAGTGCGTCACTACACCACCTCCGGTGCGATTATATCTTTGTACTACTTCTTTGTGATATTAAGTAGGTTTTAGGAGTATCCTTCTGATATACTTCCCTGACCGATTAATGTTGACTAAATTTCAAGATCGTTTTGCCGAAACGAGGATAGTGTAGGGCTCCAAAGTACATGATAGTTAATTGCAACTCACTGTGTTGTTGAGAGCAGGAAAACCTACCAGCCCATGCAAATGCGTTTTCGTCATGTGAGTTTGCTTGAAAACAACTTTTCGACAGAGCATTCTTGATTATTTTTGAGTTTTGGCTTTTTACTATTTCCGTGATAAAATTTTTGATTAATTCTGCTTTGCTGATTTCTGATAGTTTATCAGTAGCATGAAGAACTGAAGAAATTCGCGTGCCATGAATGTTCTTCTTATTCGTTCTCCAGTGTTGCGATGTGTATGTTAAATGAAGAGCAACAGACAAAAATCATCGTACTGTACCACGTTTTTTTTTTCGAAAAATAATGAGCATTGGTTTTGAATACAATATTTCTGTTAAACAGATTAGTTTGAGCCTATTTTAAGCTTACTATGAATGAGGTACTGAGCGGTGCAACTTTGAATCGGGATGGGGCAGACCGGAACTGAAATGGGACCTGAAGGGGGAGCGTTTTGTTGGCATTGCAACTTGTTTTTTGAGGCACAGATTACTATGAAAATGGGACCTGAAACATTCCCTTGGAGTAAATCTGCCCGCCTCCCCCGCTCCCCACCGTATTCATGTTCGACGCTGTCACATCTCGAAACGGCAGCCTAGATAGGGCGTTATACGGATTGTATCGGCAGTCTGCAACACCCAAAGGCGGACGAGTTGTAACGGCATTGTCGAGGTTGCACCATTCACAAGAGGTACCTATGTCCATCGTGAGCTGCGCTTTTGTAGGCACAATTCACGATGAAAATGGCTGCTTAACTTTAGCCCCAGACCAAATCTGTGACTCCCTCGTACACTACATGTAGCCCTGTCAGGCCGGAAAACGGCCTCGATAGTGCGCTATAAGGGCTCAGAGATTGTATCGGCTCAACGTCACACCCACAGCGGACGAGTTTCAGTGGCGTTGCATAGGCTGCACGACCCATGTCGACAGCAGAAGGCAGTTTTGATCAACAGTAACATGATTTAATCAGCTTTTTGCGTATTTGTAACAATTAAAATCTCGTCCGAATGTCTCTTCCATGTCGCTTCCGTCATGAGAATCTCGTTCAACTTCTATTGTCCTTCTCCTCTGGAAGTGTTCTTTCTCACGGAGCGCCGGATTTTCTCGCTTTCTTTTCCATCGATGCTTTCCCTCAACCAACACTTGTTTTCGGACTTAAAAAGGGTACCCCAAAATTATCGTGTGCCTTTATGGGAACGATCATCATTTTACGATCTGCTCAGAGGCACTATGAAGCTTTTTGTCATGTTATGTAAAATCATTGAGACCTAACTGAAAGTTCATCCGCATTGCCAAGAAGCGAAGTTGATTTTGGGTAACGTGACTTTGAGTGCTCAAACCCTCATCCACTTTTCCACTCTCAGTCAATTAGCGGGCAATTTTCACTCGACTCGTCCACAATGAAGCAGAGCGTGAGTTTTTATATTCGATTTTGTCAACGCACAAAATTATCGTGTAGGCCCAGGACGACATCTTTGCATGACGAGTTTTAGAAAAAATCGTTTATGCACATACAAAAATAGTGCGGAGATGGTGTAGTGGCAACTGGCTCGCTACCATATACTCGTTGTCATGGTTTCGAATCCCCGATCCCTATTCGTCTAGACCGATCGAGCCTTCCATCCATCCAGAGTCGCTTAATTGGGGCCATACTCGTCTGGAAGATGAAAGTAAT